CCTCCTGCAAAGATCTGTGCTCCTGCTCCTCTGGTTGCCAGGGCCACACGGGCTCAGATTAGTGAGACACGTGCCCACTCATTGATTGTTGATTCAATAGATGTCTACCGAATGACAGCCAGGTGCAGCCAGCTCCTGGGGAGGGGGAGATGGATGGCAAAGGTGCCATGCTAGGGTCTACACAGGATGCCACGGGGCCTGGGAGGGGACCACGCACACTCGGAAGGCCAGTAAGTCCTCCTGAAGGAGGTGACAGCTGAGCTGAGGGGGCTGTGAGGTGACGAGGCACTGCAGACAGGGCTAACTGTGGGTGCAGGTGCTCAGAGGAGAGAATCAGGGAGAACTCAGCAGCTGTTCAGACAAGGTTCTCCCAGTGGAACCCAATGTTGGGAGTCCAGGGAAGGAAGAAGGTGGGGGCAGTGTGGCTGGGAGGCCGGCGCAGGGACTGGCGTCTCTCCCACACTGAACTCACGGGAAGTGTGCCTGCGGGGCTGTAGAGCAGCGACCCCTAAGGGGCAGGCAGCAGCATCCGCATCACTGGGGAACTTGTTCGAGATGCACATTCAGGGTCTCACCCCAGAGCTACTGGGTGAGACCCAGCAATTTGGGCTTCAACAAGCCCTCCAGGTAGTTCTGCTGCATTCTGTCTGGGTGTGGTGATGCCCAGCCCTGGTCCCCACCCAAGGCCACAGCACTGTCCCTCAGAGTGGGCCACGGCTGCTCACGGTGCCGCGGTGCCCCTCAGTGGGAATTTTCCCGCAGGGCGCAGCTTCACCGTGCCCCTCCAAGGGCAGCCTGGAGTCCACATGGGCTCGCTTTGGGTGGGGAATCTGAAGGGCTGCCAGGGTCCAGAGCTCCCAGAGGGTCAGCTGGGCTTCCTGCAGCCACTGTTCAGAGCCTCGCTTCCCCACGGGCACGGCTTCTGGGAGCCGCCCCCAGCAAGCCTCAGCCTCGGGGTCGGCTTCTAGGAAACCTGACCTGGACAAACCTGGTGCTGCTGGGGACTCTCCCACCGCCCACCCGGCTCGCACTGGCTCAGGAGTAGCTCCTTTCTGTCGCTGCCTGCCGGCCTGCCAGCACCTTTCCCAGGATCCAATCTCTGCCTGCCAGAGTCCCCTATCTGCTCAGGGGGTCCTGCTGCTCCCACATGCGTTTCTCCCACTCCCTCCCTGCTTGGGGCCTAGTTTGCTCTCTCCTTAAAGGTGATCTGAGCAGCAGGGGTCACCTTCTCCACACTCTGGGGGCGGGTGCCATGATCCTGGAGGCGGGGACGGTGAGGCCAGGCGCTGTCAGAAAAGGCTGGATGGTGGCTTCACCGTGGCCTCGGCAGGGACTTATGTTACTGGGTTCTGGGGCACTGACCTCACACTAATCAAGCCCATCGCAGATGGGAGCACAGAACCAGCCTCCATGTGACGGATGTGTTGTGGAAGACTCCCCTCTCCTGTGCGGGGCATGGTCTCCTCACCAGTCTCTTTCTTAATGTCAGAACACGGGGGCCACGCAGTCATTAGAAGGTAGCTCATCAACCTCTTGACCCTCAAGACTAACAGAGGTGGGGGCACAAGGAGGGCGACCACAGCCTGGCCTGTGTGACTGCCCTGGCCACAGATGGGTCCCCTAGGAGCAGCTCCGGCACAGGATCAGGGATGCCCCTCCACCCCGTGCACTGGCAGGAACATGCTGCCTGCTGCCCCTCGGGCTTCCCTTCCTGGTCTGCAGGCAACCCCCTCCCACTCTCCTCGTCTTTCTCCGGCCTCCCTGATGAGACTCCAGGCCACCCAGGTGGCATTCAGGTAGTCACACACTTCAGGAGGCTCTTGGTTTTCCCACAGGAACGAATCTCACTCATCTCATCTGCCTGTGGAAGTTTCCTTCTCAGACGGTGAGCTGCATTCAGTTCCCCAGAGCGAGGCTCTAGGAGCCCTCACGCGGGCAGTGGGAGAGCTAGGGAGTGGCAGTCCGACTTGGGTTTGTCCACCTGACCCTTGTGCTTTTCCCCCACCTCCAGCGCCATGACTCCTCAGCAGAGCTTTCAGGAGACTTGGCCAAACTGCTGAAGGTGCCAGATGCCTGTGGAGGTGGCTCAGACCCATCCTCGCCTGTCCTCGGCTCTCTTCCTGCCCCCGTGGTCTTCCCTCTCCTTGTCTGGCTCTGAGACGCCCACGGAGAAGTGGAGGTGAGACATAACCCCCAGCCTGAGTGGTGGCCCCGTCACAGTCTTCCCTACTGACCTTTAGATCTTCAGACCCAGCAATCTGGGCTGCCTCCAACTCGCAGCATGGCCTCCAGGACCAGACACTCATTTCTGCCCCCGGGAAGCACGGCAGGTCAGGCAGATGAAGAGCAGACAAGCCCGATGAGGTGAGAAGACAGGGCGTGGGATCCTGTGGGTCTGAGTGCATCAAGGTCCCTAAAGATGAGCAGCCACCTCCATGCACTGGGTGGGCAAACCGAGAGGCCCTCATGTGTCTCAGCACCACCGCACCCTCAGGAAATCAGTGCCCGCGGAAATCTTTCACACGCCAGGAGGAGAGGACGAGAGCAACATCCTGCCGCCAGTGCCGACCAGAGAAAGCAGGCCTTTCAACTGCACGGGCTAACGTTTCAAGGCACATGACTGGACCCACATGCTGCAGAGGACTGCAGAGCGAGGGGCTGTCACTGGCCTTCCCTCAGCCCCGCCGGCACGCCTTGGAGGCCCGGGCCATTCCCGCTGGCAGACTCTCCTGCTCACCGCAGTTTATGTGAAGGTAGTGCCCCTCACACTGTCTCAGACCTCTGAACAGGACTTCTGGTACTGTTTGGGAAGAACAGTCAGGTAAAGAGCCTCCACAGTCCCACCCCAAACACCTGTCACCACTAAGCATGGGGCCACTAACTTCTTGGAGCTAAACAGGATGGGCGAGTGCTCAGGCTAATCCCCTACTTGATAAACCACTGAGGTCAATGTAATCTTTCCCTCCCCAGGAATAAAATGAAAAATGTGATTTCAAAGGTCATGCTCTCGAAGTGCATCATGCACAGCACTGTAACGTCCGTGATAGGACTTGCCATGATGCTTGTTACTTGGTATAAACAGCCAGGGAATGCACACATTGAATTTACAACAGCCAATCGTAGTCACGCCAGCCACGATTCATCTGCTGCTCAGATGGCCACCGTGACCAGCGGACACAATCCTGCCAAATCACTCACCATCCTCTGAAGAACATTATCTGACACGTAAGTCTCCCTTGTGTTACCCAAATGAAAATGTCAACCCAAACAGGGACAGCCATGCTCTAGGAGTGAGGCAGAGAGGGAGAGAGCAGAGGGCTGAGGACTACAGTGACCCCCTTGTCCGCCATGGCAGAGCAGGGCCAGGGGAGAAAGAGGTCCCTCCATACTCTGCACCAAATTAAAAAGGCCTCCATGACATGGAAGGTCTGTGCACGGTTGAGGCCTCCAGAATGTACTCACAACACTTGGAGAGTGATATTCTTGGAACTTATTACCTTTTGGGCCTCAAAGACAGAGCAGCCTTCTTGGGGGGCTGACCTGACGCATAAGAGCTGGGGACTTTGGGCCGACACCAGGAGCCGTGCGCACCCAGGACAGGAAAGGCTTTGGCTCGCACTGAACAAGTCAACAGTCATTGAGAGCCTGCGTGTGAGGCATTCATTTGGGGGGCGACCCCAAAATGAAACACCTGGGCCTTGTCCTTGAAGAACTCATCGTGTCCCGTCTCTCATTTGGGGAACTACATTAGGGTCCAAGGGTCTCCTGTGGACACAGCTCCACCTCCTCAGGGATAGGGTCCCACATCCAGCTCTTCCATCACCGCCCATCCTCCCCCGTGAGCTCCTCAGCCCCCAGGTGGGAGTGGACACCACTGGAGCTTGTCCAGGAGACGGAGACAGAGGAGAGCATCTTCTGTCCAGTGTTGGTGAAAACCTGGATTTCACCCTAAACACATCTAGAAGGTAGCTTATTAATCTACGTTCCCCTCAGAAGCTGGGTAACAAACAGCTAAGTCTCACTTTCCCTTTGTTTAGTTGGTTGTGGTAACGACCTAACCACAGCAGAGTGCGCAGACAGGGAGGACGTGCAGGGGTCTCCTGTCTGCTGCCAGATAACGCAGACGTTCGCCTGGGCTTCGAGAGACAGGTGAGTGGGTACCAGTGTCCTTAAGCTACTGCTAGGAAACCTTTTGAAGCTTGGCAAGTTGCTTTTTCAAACAGCATTTTTTGCCTGAAGTACATTCCATTCTGCAACAACACAGGTTCTCAGTGTCCCTTTGACCCACACTGGATCTATGGCACTTTCTACCTCGTCATGTTGTTTACCAAATTCATATTCTCCACCTTAAAACGTTCATTCAAGTAACTGAACTCCTTGGCAAATAGAGTACAAGGCAGTCTAAGTCTTCAGAACACTATTTAAACAGGGAATTTTTAAATTGCAGATATCTTTTAAGAGCTGTAATTTAACAAGAGCAGATTTTCTAAACAAGGTAAGCCTCTCACTGCCCAGCAGTGACTCATCTGGTTACGTCTGGGGATAGCCTGCAGCCACTGTGCGTGGATGACAGTTTCGGTTGTTACAATACTGAGCTGCTTCTGAGTGGCTGGTAACTAGCGACTGCTGCAGGCTCCAGGCCCCCGGGCTCTGGCCACCCTCTGCCCTCCAGGGCCCGCCCCCTAGACCTTCTCAGGGGCCTCTGGGGTCTTGTCGGTTCTAAGGCTGCTCCTTTCCTGATTGGCCAGTGCCTGTGTCATCAAATATTTTGAATAGACCCCCTGCTTATAATAAATGTCTAGAGATAATGACATTTAAAGAACCTGCTAGACGTTTGTTTTCCACACTCTCCTGTCAGTGGTATTATTAGATGCACAAAACTAAGCTGACCAGCTAGTAACAAAATAGTAAACCCTATAGAAACCATATGTTTACATGCTAGCAGGGGTGGGAGGGAGATGCGAAGACAAAGGGCCCCAGAAACATAAACAGCAGCTCACACGTTGAGGGGCAGCTGGACTTTGGGAGCCGAGCCCTGTTGTTCAGCCGCTGGGGTGGATCCGGCCGAGGAGGAGGAGTCCTGGAAACAGACAAGAGGAGACAGGAGTGAGTGGACAGGAGGCTCCCGCCCCGGGAGGAGAAAGGCAAAGTGGGCTGGAGTCCAGAGGCATCTGTTCTCCCTTCAGGGGCCTGACTGATCCTGGGACCTCCAAAAAGCTCCGGTTCTGCTGGCCTGGTCGTTAAGAACATTTCCTCAGCCCACTGGAGAGCTTGGCGGCCAGCAACACTGTCCCGAAGCAGCTGTCAAGAGCCCTCTTGGAGCAGCTCAGAAATCACTCTGGCCTGCGTCTGGGTTGATCAGTATCACACTGTGTTCAACGTGGAAGAAGGCAGTATGGGGAGGCCTGTTTTTATTCTTAGAACTTGAATTAATTATTCTTGTGTTTGTCAAAGAAAATCCAGACAAAACCTTTCATGCTACAAAGCATGAGCTTATTTAAAAACTACATTCCCAGGAACTGAAGATTAATCTCTCAAGAAAACTGGTCTTTTGGCAGTGGACAGAGGGGCAGGGTGACAGGATTCACAGACACAGCATCTCCCACCTCAGGCCCTGAGGGGCTCAAAGCTTCAAGAGTTTACTTTGCAAGGAGATCCCTGGAGGAATGGTCTACTTAGAGATGGCTCCCGGGAAGCATCAGGTGCACGCTGAGCTGGCTGAGGGAAGCGGGTGAGGGCCACGAGAGGTATCTGGGCCATGCGATGATCGTGCCCAGGCAACTCCTGCACAGAGAATCCTGCAGACCCAGTGAGGGGCAACATTGGCCCCAAATCCCCTCACCACCCATGTCTATCGCCCGGCCTCAAGTCTTCCTCGGGCTCTTCCTGTTCAGAGGTATTAGACGGCACAGTGAACTGGACTGTGTGACCCCAAAAGATATGTCTAAGTCGTAGCCCCTGGAACCTGTGAAGGTGACCTTATTTGGAATAAAGGTCTTTGCAGATATAAGGGAAGGATCTTGAGGTGAGATTATCCTTGATTAGAGTGGGCCTTAAATCCAGACAGGTGTCCTTGTAAGAGAGAGAAAAGGAGAAGACAGACACCCAGAGGGGAAGGAAGGCCGTGTGAAGACGGATGCAGATATTGGAGTGACGTGCTCTAGGCTGAGGAACCCCGAGGATGGCTGGCAGCCATCAGAAGCAGGGCGAAGGGAATCAGATGGATTCTCTCAGCATCCAGAAGGAACCATTCCTGCCAACATGCTGGTTTTGGACTTCTGGCCTCCAGAACTGTGAGAGAATAACTTCCTATTGCTTTGAGCCACCCAGTTTGTGGTGCATTATAGCTGCCCCAGGAAACTACACAGATGGGGACATCTAGGGGTCCCTGGAGGAGAGTGGGGTCCATGTCCCTCAAAGTCGAGGGAGCCAGGGGTCTCCTCCTTTCCTCAAGGATCCCTTCTAGGCTCCTCCACCAGGGACAGGATTGGGATCCCGGAGGACACTGGAACCAGACGAACAGCGAGCCAGGCAGGCTGGAGCAGAACCCTCAGGAGCTTCTGGGGCTTTGGCAGAAGGCAGGTAGGGAAGTGGGCTGCGGAGGGGCTGCCCAGGGCTCTGGTTGGGAGGTGGACCATGTGTGGGTGCTCAGGTGGGCCAAGGTCGCTAGAAGCAGAAATCACAAAGATGGGATGAGAGATCCACCTAGAACACACTCCAGGCGGGCAGCACAACCCTACGATTGGCTGACTATTATACCACTTTCTTGCTTGCACGGAGGGGTGAGGGGGCATTTCTCATCAGCCCACCGACCAGCTCTGACCAGGCTTAGCTGATGAGCTCCACGTGCTAAGGCAGCCTGATTCCCTCCTCAGGTGGTCAACTGCCCTCCTCCACCAGGAATCACAAACGGGGCCGGAAATCACAGCTGTCCACAACCTCTAAGAAGGGAGAAATTCCTCTTGTTTCAACAGTGGAATGCCTGCAGAATGAGAATGTGCAATAGACAAGCACAGCTTCCCTCGTGTCTCCAAGGTAACTTGAAGTCTCAAAGGACTTCCCATTCCACGCTCCCACACCTGTGAGAGAAAACTTTGATTTTCAAAGGCAGTGCCTGTCACAGATCTCTTCCCTGGGGCTAATGCATGGACGTCATGTTTCCAGAGTGTGTGTGGAACTGGGCTAAAAGGCGGGGATATTCCTTCTGCTGACAGATTCTGGGGACTTCTGTTTGCTCATCACAACTGCCCTCCCTAGGGAGGGGAGAGAGACAAGGAGGCATTCCCCATCAAGGCTTGGGATTACTTTCCTTCAAGATAGTCTCTGGTAGAGTTCACCACAGCCGGCCAGGGACCGTCCTCCACAGAGCTTCAGGCAGGAGCGGGACGGCGACCTCTACAGGTACAGCCACCTGCTCCAAGCCCACCCTCCCCTGGGGTATTGAGCAAGGGCAGCAGGCACCCCTAGTGCTGGTTTCTGAGGAGCCACAGCTCTCCTTGTCTGGTCACTGGAGACAAGTGTGGGCAGGACACAAGGGCCCTTCACTCCCTCACTCCCTCAGGCACGGGCAGGCCTGGCACCACGCTGCAGGCGGTCAGCAGACGTCGCCAAGCACCTCCAGCATGAAGCTCAGCAGCTAAGCAAGGTCAGAGCTGGTCAGTGACTTGATAAGAAAAGCCCCCCTCACCCCGCCACGTGAGCAAGAAGGTGGCGCGATGCAGGTCGAGTTGCAGGGTTGTTCTGCCTGCATGGGGCATGGTCTAGGTGCTCATGGACATCTGCTGACCACCTGACTGTCAGACCCGGCTCAGGGTGCAGACACGGCCTCTGATCCCAGCGTGGGGCTTACACTGGGGGGCACAATTGTTAGACATGTCATTATAGACACGTGGGGTCCCAACAAGTGCAGGGCCACGGGAACACAGAACAGGGACCTCACCTGGGGCCGCAGCCAGAGAGGCTTCTGCGAGCAGGAGGCAGGCCCCTTGGGCGACGTGGTGAGGGAGCTGCAGAGAGGCCCGAGCAGCGAGGGCTGGGAAAGGCAAGCTCAGCGTATGTGAAGACACTGAAAGAGAGGAACGGCTGGAGGACGGGGGGCCACTCGAGTGGGCACAGCGGGCCGTGCGAGGCCACCCGGACCACTGTGAGGTGCCTGGTCCTCACCCTGAGGGCCAAGAGATGCCACGGAAGGCCGGCAGGAGACAGGGCGAGATAGGCTCAGGGCCACGGCTTACAAGGGGGCCAGTCAGGAGGCACTGAGGAAGTTCAGGCCTGGACCGGGGCCATGATGCTGGGGGTTGTGGGGGGTCTGGACATGCGTAGGAGGCCGTGGGTAAGAGCAACCACTCCCCTCAAACAGAGCTCACCATGGACTGTGCCTGCTCTGAGAATTTCGCCTGGAATAATGCATTTAATCCTCCTAATAAGCCTGTATAGTGAGTGTTATTTTTTATCACCATTTTACAAAATGAAGAAACTGAGGCACAGAGATGTTAGGTGAATGGCTCACGTTCACACAGCCAGTAAGTGGCCAAGGCTGGGCTTGAACTCAGGCAGGCTGGTGCTAGAGGCCACGCACTTATCCACCACGCCATCTGTATGTGTTTCTTATGGCTGCTGTAACTAAGGACCATAAACTTAGTGGCTTAAAGCAACATATATTTACTCTCTTACAGTTCTGAAAGTCAGAAGTCCTAAAATCAAGGTGTCAGCAGGGCTGTGTTCCTTCCAGAGGCTCAAGGGGAGAATTGTTTCCTTGCCTTTTCCAGCTTCTACGGGCTGCCTGCATTCCTTGGCTTGTGACCTCTTCCTCCATCTTTAAAGCCAACAGTGTAGCATCTTCAACTCTCTCTCTGACCTCTGCTTCCATCCTCTCATGTTCTCTCTGACTCTGACCTCCTGCCTCTCTCTTATAAGGACCCCTATGATTACATTGGGCCCACCTGGATAATCCAGGCTCATCTCCCCATCTTATTTTCCTTATCACTTTTGCCAAGTGAGGTACCATATTCATAGGTTCTGGGGATTAGGATGTGCACGTTTGGGAGGCCATTATTCCCTCCCCCACCAACAGGACTGGTGGATTCAAGGGCACAATGAAGGAGGATGAGCCAAGTTTCTGGCCTTGGTGACTGGCCAGATGGAGATGCCATCTGAAGAGATAGGAGTATGAGATCTGGGGGAGGGCACAAGCCAAGTGTTGGACGTGTTGAGTTTGACCTGCCTGGAGAACCTGAGGATGAGGGCGGCCAGTGACGCCAGCCAGGAGCTCCGAGGAGGGGACTGGCCCAGAGGGTCATGAGCATAGAGTCCATCTACAGGCAGTGCACCCTCACAGTTAAGCTTTCACTCTCAACTGTGAGGGGCTGTGTCTGTGTGACCCTGGGCAAGTCACTGTTATTGGGCCTCAGTTTCCTCATCTTTAAGATGGAGTCATGGACTTCTGCTCTCAACCAACGACGGAATCACAGGGCTGGATGTACCCTCCTCCCCGAAACAACTGAGAAATCTGACAAAACATGTGACTTGATGGTTCCTGGGACCTTGGAAATCAAGTAGTGCAGGACAGAGACCCTGGGGGGATGGAAAATGGGGTCATGAAAGCTCCAGTCCTCCAGGTTAGTTGGAATATTAAACGCGGTAATTTAAAGCTCATAGTAAGCCCTCAATAAATGCTGGCTGTCATTCTTCCTGAAGCCAGCCGGGAGGTGGATGAGATGGCCTGGGAGAACGTGTGCAGTGGGGAGAGAGGATGCCCTGAGACTCAGCCTGTGGACTCCAAGACACAGGGGAGCCAGCAAGGGGACAGAAAGAAGCAGGAGTGCAGGCATCTCCGGGTCCAGAGAGGTGAGTGTTCCAAGGGGAAGCTGGTGTCAACCATGCTGAATGCTGCAGAAAGGTCAAGTCAGCTGAAAGCCGGAAGGACCCCTTCAGTTTGGACATGCGGGTATGCACAGTGTGCTTACATGGCTGGCAACTGTCACTAATGGATGCCCAGGTTGGCTCACACTCCTTGACCCCGCCTCCCAGGACACACAAAAGACATGGGCCTGTGCAGGCGACCCTTGGTCACTTGCTTCT